CATCTTGAAGCAACCTTGTGTACACTGAAGTGTGTGGTTATTAATGCATATGTCGTTTAAAAGTCTAATAGACAATTTTATAATTGGTCTCCAAGTCAGTGTTTGAAAATACACATTGTTTTTCGGTTGTTGTAAGTTACTTTCCATTTTAGGACAGTGTCCGTTTTCCTGTCTTAATGAGTTAGGGTTCTAGGGCCCACAATAAGTATCTTTTCCAAATGAGGGAGAAAATGTTAGTCCAGGGAAAGAGATGCTTCCCTGGATTCCCAGGAAGAGCTAATTCCCAGCACTGTAGGCTGAGTCTACCCTGATCAGGAGCGACCAGGAGGCAATGAATCGTGAAGGTTCAATTGCTGCGTCTAGCAGTAAACATTGCCACTGTCTTTGTTATGTCTAAACAAGCAAACACCTCTAATGTCACTAACACTGCCCCTTAAAAACTGTCGGCTCTGGCTTTCTGGAGCTCATTACCTGTGGTCGGACACCTTGCTCACCCTTGAGAAGCGGGGAGGGGCTGGGTCCTGCCTCAACTGAATGCCAGGCTTTGCTGTCCCCCCATGGGAGAACTTACCCTTTTGGAGGGAGGGATGAGGCGTGAGTTGGAGGGGAGGTTAGGCAGGGATGGGGGAGCAGGAGGAGGAATGAGAGAGGGATCTGTGGTTGGTATGTGAAATGAATAAAAAAAAAAAAAAACCTGTTGGCTCTGGAAAAAATACCACCCACTTTATTTTATTGCGACAGGTTTTAATATGTACTCTCTCTGTAGCTTAGGCTAGCCCCAAACTCAGTACTCTTCTCTTGGCCACCTGAGTGTTAGGATCCCAGGTGTGTGCTGCTGCTCCTGTCTTATGCTTCATTTTTGTCAAGGTTGGACAGGCTGGGTGGACACTGCATGTTCTGCCTCTCTGTCCCCATGCTTCGTGTGTTATCAAAGCTGTAGGAATGGATGCATTACAGTAGAGGACTGAATCACCTGGAACCCAATTTGTAAGATTATCCAGAAAATACACTTTCACTTTCTACCCTGAAGGAACTAGTCCGCATCATTGTATTCCTGAAAGTATCAGAAAGATTATCTGTGGTCAGCTTGTATTTAGACAGCTATGTAGAAAGCAAAAGGAACTTTTCATATTTCTAAAGAATTCTATTTCAGTCACCATTGATATCTTCATCTTCCTTTCGAGGTCAACAGACGGATTTTATCATGAAATATCCAAGTGATAGTTATCTAAACAAATTTCAGTTTGCTCTGAAGGTATGTAAATGGAAAAAATTTAATACAAGGAAGTAGATGCTACTTTACCTTTTAATTATTGTTACTTTAATGTACTGAATAAATCATGAAAACCTAACGAAAGAACTGGTAGAAAATCTGAGCTTTAATATTGCAGACTCTCGTTTCCAGTTCAGTGCCTGGGACCTGCTGTCTTCAGAGCAGCCTGTTTTCAGGGCCTCCTCAGGGTGTGCCCGGGTGCTGGTCCACTCCTCCTCTCAGCTTCCTTTCCCTCCCTCTCACCTTCCTTCCCGTCCTTTCCTGTTTCATTTCTTCTTCCTTTTACCCCTTCTGTTTTTGCCCCTCTCCTCACATTCCTACCATTTCAGTCTCCAAAGTTGAGGATAGCGAACATGCATGCACTAGCTACCACACCTGGCCAACCTACTATTTTCAGACATTGTGTGTGTGTGTGTGTGTGTGTGTGTGTGTGTGTGTGTGTGTGTGTGTGTGTGTGTGTTTCCTTAACTATTCAGGATCCAAGTCTCTCATCAAAGCAGTCTCTAGCTTTCTCTTATTTGCAGCCCCACTGTTTACTCAAAGGAACTATAGTTTTATTTTGCAGGATAAAAATTCCTTCTTCTAAATGGCCCACAGAATCAACTAACCAGGGCTCATAGGGGCTCACAGAGACGGAACCAACAATCAGGGAGCCTGTATGGGTCTGACTTAGGCACTCTGCATATATGTTGTGTTTATGAGACTTGATGTTCTTATGGGACTCCTAGCAGTGGGAACAGGGGTCTCTGGCCCATTTGTCTGCTTTGGGGACCCTTTTCCTCCTACTGTACTGCCTCTTCCAGCCTTAATGCGAGGGGAGGTGCCTCGTCTTGTTGTAACTTGATATGCTGTGTTTGGTTGGTACCCCTGGGAAGCCTGCCCCTTTCTGGGGGGAAACAGGAGGAGAGGATCTGGGGGAGAGTGGAGGTGTGTGTGGGGAGAGGATGTGAGGAGAGGAGAGGGGGGAATTGCTGTCGGTGTGTAATATATAAGATAATAATAATAATAATAATAATAATAATAATAATAACAATAAACATGCATCCCTAAAAATGCTTCTTTTGCATATTACAACTTTGTGTGTCAGTGTTTAGCCTACTCTCTTATTCTTAGCTTCTCTATAGAGGCATAATTAAATGAAGAGATGAATATGCATCTTAAAGACTTGATTAACTCACTGTCAGTTAATGTGTCAATACCTCTGGCGTCATTCATGTGGCTCCTTGAGTCAGGATTTATCTTTCCTGTGAGAATATCAGAACATTGTTTGCCTCAGTACAGTTTCTGCTGCTGTAACAGAATACCTGAGGCTGGGTAAGTTATAAAGAGGTTTACAGTTCTGAAGGCTGCACAGCTTCTGGTAAGGACCTCTTCATGCCCCATGCATAGCAGAGGACAGGAGGGTGTGAACCAAGAGAGGAGGTGGGATTCTGTAACAGCCATAATGAATAACTAAAGCACTTTCCTAGAAACCACGTTCATCCTTTTGTGATGACAGATCCTTCATAACTATACTTCTTAAAGGCCCACCCCCTTTCTGTACTTTTACAGGGGACCATACCTTAATACAAGTTTTAGTGGAGCCAATCCTGTTCACACTATAGTAGCATTTCTCAAACCTGGAACTAGGAATTTATCTTCTTGGGGTATGTATGGGGGGCATCTGTGTAGGTTTCTTTATAAATCTGCCTCCAAGAGTGCTTCTCCTGTTTGGTAATCCCAACTGTTACAGTGATACGGTGGGGACCCCTCCTAGTTTACTCAGGCATATGCAGGAAATTGTAGCACACTTGCTGTTCAAGAACCAAAGATGATGCCTCTGTTACT